GAATTCAATTTCAAAAGATTTAACCCTTTGCAGCTTTATGATGAATTTGAGGATTTTGTGTCCACGTTGGTAGAAACCTCAGGGCAGTGGTTCTCAGCCTGAGCTGCCCCCCGGAATCACCTGGGAACTCTATAGCCAGGGCTCACCCCCCAGTCACTGGTCCCAGGTGGGACCTGGGCACTGGGATTTTTTGAAAACTTCCTAGGTGATTTGAATGTGCAACCAGGTTAAGGACCACGGCCCTAGGCGATAAAACACACAGCTGTATTGTTGCAAGTCTGGATTATGCTGGGACATCATGGCCCAATTGCAAAGCAAAAAGCAAAAGAAATGAAATGTGTTATTCTTGCCTACCTCTGTGGTCCTGTGACCTTTAGATCTTTTTGAGAACACTCCAGCTAGGCTCCTGACAACAATTCCATTTCCAGTCTTCCTCTTGGGCTCACCTAATGATGTTATTGAAGGTCAAGCCCATAGTTGTCATTTTTCAATAGATATATTTCTTTCATGCTGTAGTTTATATTAATGAACTCTGCTGGTGCCCTTGTAAAGACTCAGTCTGAACTCATTTATCTCTGGCGTTTGAATCACTGCCAGATGTTTTAATGCTGTTAGCATCAGGGTTCTACAGCATTTCCCTAAAGAAGGCATTGCTTCGCTACTGAGAGTTTTCACAATCCATCCTCCTCCTCCAGTTTGCTCTCCTGTCTTTTTCCTTTTGAGACACCTTCCTTTTTTCTGACCCCCAGACACTCCCCAACAGCTAGAAAAAAAAATCCCTCCCTTCGTTTTCCATGTTAAAGACCCATCTTCTAGTACTTTCAAATAAGATACGGTATTCTAAAGTGCCCCGTATCACAATAGCGTCACCCAGATGTAAACTGTCATTTTACTGGCATTATCTTTTCCATTATATCATCTATTTTTACCATCCCCTGACCCCTACACTCTCTTATTACTGGCAGCCCGATAATATCATTCATGAGGTTTCGCGATCTCCTCTCTTTTCCCCAAATACCTTCTGCAGGACGTATTTTCCTTCTTCAAAAGAAAATGCCACTTTGGCTTTTATTCATGAGTTCTCAGCACTTCCTACACGCAGAGAAGGAAATTACCTTTATTCAAACACTTAAGTGACTTGGTCGAGGTGGCAAACTTAATTTAAATAATGCATCTTTTTTATTCCCAGTTAGTTGTTTTCCCTACAAGACAGGGACAGGCAACCATAGAGGAGACTTTGATGTTCCTTCTGGTCCCTACTTCCGTCATTTCTGTGTCTTTCTTTTTTTTCTTACTCATTTCTGCTCAGGCTTCTTTTCTCTGTTAATTCTTCTTTCCATCTTCTTTAGGATGATAGGGGTTGCCTGGGCGCTTTGGTTAACAAACAAACAAACGAGAAAACAGACCAAAACAACACCTGCTATCCTCTTCACGGGCTTAGAACTTATTAAAAAATTAAGGACTCAAGACTTGGCCCACAACCAGTTAAAATCAAAGTAAAAATACTGCCCACACTAAGGAAAAACAATGATCAGTTAGTCAAGATGAATCAACAAAGAAAAAAAATTAGAGTATGAGGATTTTTATCATTGTATTCATTTCCTCATGTTTGACCTTAGGGTGTATATAAGCATGTCTGTTATAGCTTTGGTATTTAGGTGTATTTCCCTATTACAGAAATCGGAGTTCAGTTTTATAGTCATAATACCTAGTACACAGGTAAGGCTTAATAAAAATTGTTCCAAGAATGAAGGCAGGTTATTCAATGGGGCTTACTGTCTCTCAAATTCAGTAAAACCCAAGATGTTTTATTGGCTTCATTAATCATTGAAGATTAGAGCAATTTCTGGAGTGCCTGACTGGCTCAGTTGGTGGACCATGCGGCTCTTGGTCTCGGGGTCGTGAGTTCAAGCCTCACATTGGGGTTAGAGGTTGCTTAAATAAATAAGCTTGAAAAAAATGATTAGGGCACTTTGTGAATCTGTAGAGAAGGGTGATGTGTAGACAGGAGAGAGAATTTATGGGAGAAAAAACTGGCTTAGCTAAATGCTACAATCTGCATGGTGACTTGAAGAGTTTGCAGAATGTAACTTGCTACCGATCCTATTCTATTGCTATTTTTAACTATAAGCTAATGTTAATTATGGAATTACTTGCCATGACATCATAGGATTCTCCATTTCCAAATACTTTGCTGTGGCTTTGTATTATTCCTTGAACAATTAATTCCTCCAGAATGTCTGATGACTTTTGTCGCTCTCGGCTCTCTAGGGGTTGGGGTTTATGGATTAATCCGGTCACTAGGTCTAAAGGGAAAGAAAGAAGGAATAGAAATGTAAGCATGAACATTTTATCAATCAGATGCTAAATGGATGCCTTATAAATCAGGTTACTTAACTAAATCTTAGTCTCAGCACTCTTACCTATATATCTGTTTCTATTATAAATCTTTGAATTGTTTGAAGTTCAAATTCTTAATGTTTTTACAGAGGATACACATCAGCATAATATACTGTTTACTTAGCAGGCCCCGTATTAACATAAAAAGAAGTCTTTCATGTGCTGCTACGTACTACTTTTTTGTTGTAACAACACTTACACACTTGAGTATGACTACATGGGTTTTCTACGCTAATTGTGAAGCTAAAGCACAGCTAGGAAGGAGATATTCTTCCAGTGACTCTTCTGAGCTGCAGTTTGGTTTCTATGCTTTGTATACAAAGGATAAACAGTGGGATGTTGCCAAGAGACTTCTAGTTCTGCAACCTTGAGTTTACAATGACGCTATCTGCTAAATCTATGTAAGTAAGAGTATGCCTTTTTGAAAAGAGTCTTTGAACCAAATCACAATTGAAGTCAAGTGATATCAGCTACATTTTTATTATTGTTTCTAAAAATGGCACTGAAACAGTTTCTTGGGGAGCCTTTATAAACTGCACTAATAAGAGAGATCCCCCCAATAGAAATCACCCAGTTCTACAAATAAACAAGCAAGCATCTGTTTTTACAGACTCACATTATAAAATAAAGGTGCAATGAGGAGTCCTCAGAAATGGGCTGTCTTCTGTTTTGTAATCATTGGGAAGTCCTGATAGTAACCAGATTCATTCCACCTAGTGGACTGAGTCTTTTTATGAAAATTTCTAACCTCACTGGTTAACAAAGACAGTTTTCATGAATTTGTAGCGGGAAGATAAAAAAAACGTGCACACACACACACACACACACACTAGCCAGATGTTTCTCACTTCAGAATATTCAACTTGTTACAAGAGACTTCTCTATTGACCACTGCAAGTAACTTCAACAAATTGCCAATAATCTCATTTCTCGTCCAGTGCTGGGTCTTCTACCCTTGAAATAGACTCAATTTTCACTTTAAAGAGTGCTAGAGTGGTAAAACATGTCTTTCAAGTCGGTAAACTAGTAAACTAAAGCTTGAAACAATAGAGAAAAATTCAATAAAAAGTTAGAGGTAAATCCTCTTCAAAGAATTAGGAGGATTTTTTTTTTCTTTGAGAAGGGCTTATCTGGAAGGGTCAAAGTAATAGTTATTACTTACTGAGCACTGAGGTGCCTGGCATCATATTAGGTACTTTACATACTTTGTAACGTTGTGACTTCTGTGACAGAGTTACCATTATCCCTATTGTATAAATAAACTATACGAGAGAGGCGAATTAACTTGCTTAAGGTGACACAGGTAGGAAGAGAATCAACTAGGATTTGAATCCAAGAATGTCTGACTTCAATACCCGTGTTCTCTGCCACCTCCTTCCCCAAGGTCATGGAAAGAGCTGCACTGCATGGTCCATTTCCCCTCTCAGGATGCTTATATATATATTTTTTAAGATTTTATTTATTTATTTGTCAGAGAGAGAGAGAGAAAGAGCACAAACAGGGGGAGCAGCAGAGCGAGAGGGAGAAGCAGACTCCCCGCTAAACAAGGAGCCCGATGCAGGACTCGATCCCAAGACCGTGGGATCATGACCTGAGCTGAAGGCAGGCACTTAACTGACTGAGCCACCCAGGCGTCCCATCAGGATGCTTCTAAAGAGAATGCCATAGTCGACAACTATCACTAACGTAATAAAATTATTAAAATGATTATGAAATAAAAACAACCATCTCGATCAATTTATTTTTCTGAGTCCACCAGAATACTGGCTTGACATTGACGGGGGTCAACCTACAAAGAAACCCCTCCACTATGACGGTCTTGCAACTAATCCTTGTGATTTCTCGGGATGCTGAAGATGATTGGGGGAATGTGGGAAAGTGACATGATGCTTCTTTCTGATTATGAAAGTAATACATGGTTATCAGAGTAAACTTGGAAAGTATAGAAAAAAAGAAAAATGCCCATCCTCTTACCATTCAGAGATTACCATTGTTGCTATATCAAATTTTATTTTTACAAATTTGACATCATACTGAACATACAGTTCTGTTTCCTATGCAGTTAACATATAGATTAGCGTTTTCTCACAAGGCTAGAAATTCTTCGTAAGTGTAAAAAGTGAAGTCGTACAAGAAAACGTAGGTGAATTCATCTTTAACTCTGGCATAGGGAAAGGCTTTCTAACTATGACTCAAATTCCAGATTCAGTAAAAGAAAAGATTGATAAATTTTACATTAAAAAATGTTTGCAAGGCTGGGGTGCCTGGGTGGCTCAGTCGTTAAGCGTCTGCCTTCGGCTCAGGTCATGATCCCAGGGTCCTGGGATCGAGCCCCGCATCGGGCTCCCT